TACTGTGCTGACAGCTCGGTTAGAGGAGGCTGACTGCTTCTGTCCTGGAATCAGAGCTCTGAGGATCTTGCACAGACATGGAGCCCAGAGGCTGGTGAGGAATCTAGGACTGGATATAGTGGCGATCAGATCCTTTTTCTGCCCACCTCAGGAGACTTGGCCTACACTGAGGTAAGACCTGCAGGGAAATGACTGAGAATGACATAATTAGGTTTCTCAAAGGAATGGGCTTTGGTTGTAGTGAAGCGGGAAAAAAAAGTTTTGATTGAAGAAGTGGGGATGTACATGTACATGGAATCCTTTGGATTGCTTAGTTTAATTGGTGGAAGATTTAATTATTATTAACAGTATGGCATTATTTACAAGACATTCAGCATAGTAGAATAGAAGAGAGTAGAATGCCTTTAATGTCATCACACAATGAAGCATGGCGAAATTACAGCAGCTACCACTGAAAGGTGCATTTTTGTAAAAAAAATTAAATATAAGAATCAAAATAAACATGTTTACAGGACTTTAAAAACTATACAAAATAGTGCAAAAAGAGGTGCAAGAGGAGGTAGTTGTGGTTTGATTATAGTGCAAAAGTAGGTAGTTGTGGTTGGATTGTATAAGAGTTATTTTATGGATAGTAAAGTTAGAGATGAAACTGTGCAACTTCTCATTTATAAGTGAAAGTCTTTTCTTTAGAGGTAGTTTTCTTCCAATTAAGGTGAAAAGGTGTGAGTAGTCTCCTACCCTGCAAACTGAATCTACAGGGATTAAGATGTGTTCTATGTCTGCTACGTGACAGCAGCATGTGTATGTGGAGTCATAGTTCAGTCTGGCGCATGCAGGTGGCCTCCCTAGTGCAGATCCCTGTGGGGATGTCACTCCCATCCATTTGGGCTTGAAAAAACACTCCACGCCACGAAAGCAGGCCTCTGGAAGTTCACCAAACTCTTGTAGCACCTGAAAACTGCCTAAACCAAGCAATACTCTCTGGTCTGACTTTCAAACAGATTGGATTCAAACATCTCCTCCCCCAGTGTTGTTTTTTTTAGTTCCTGGTTTACTTATGCTGAGTTGGTTTATATAATCTTTAATCATAGGTTTAACCCCAAACACTGGTTTAGGTGTGCATGTGAGGCTGCTGGCTTACACAACGATCTAATTGTTTAACAAGTCTGATCCGGCCATCAGGTTTTGTTTCATTTTAAACATTAAGTGCCAACAGTTGACAGGGAGTTGTTGACACTTGTCATATGAAGATATTTATAGGTGCAGGGAGCAATAATTTGCTGTATTTTTCTGCAGTTAAGACATATCATGTCTGACACAAGAAAGAAACTAAGTTTTCTGAGTTCAAGCTAAAGTGGGCAGGGAAAATCTTGTTTTTCTCTTTAACTAGAGCCGATCCTGCATTGCTGAGCTCGCAGGAGCCAAGTTAAACATGTTGGGCCGGTCCAAACTGACAGAGAGCACAGTGTTGGGTTGTGTGCATGTCCATCATCCACCTTCTAGAGGAATATAGACAGTAATTCAGACCAGAGGCTGCTTATTTTTCCTGTGCACTCTCTCAGGGGTTGTTAAGTCATGGCTCCACTGTCTGGAGTTTAAGGGACTTGGGTTGTTGAATACTCTTTTAAATATCACTGGTTTATCAGAGGTTTATATTCCTTAAAGTGATAAACAAGATTACACTATAGTTAACACAGGATCCTGTATCTAAGTGTGTTCCTTAATGAATCAAGTTTGCACCCACTCATTCTTTGAGCCTCTTACAGGGTAGAGGTTTTCTGGGTAACAAAACTGTGTCATTGTGCACTTTTTTTCCCTGAGACACAGACCTCTTCATTCATTCTACATACATGTGGGAGGCTTTAAAATCTTCATTCACTGAAAACCTTTCAAGGCGAGGATGTGTTTGAGCTTCCCTCTTTCACCTGCCTTGACTTACATTTCCCTTTTGTCGAACAAGACAAATTAAAATTTTAAACATGTCACTCACCCCATTTTAGCCTCAACCTGATAACAACCCCACTACCCTCTGGCCCTCTGTGGGCAGATCAGTCAGATATGCAGGCCTAGAGCTCCCAAATCCATGTTAACAAGCACCTTTACAAAAGAGTGAGAGGCTGTTAAACATTCAGGACTGCAGGGGTCTGGCTAGTGGGAGGAGGGCAGGGCAGGGGGAGTGGAACAGTGAGAGGGGAGAGTTTAAAGAGCAAATCTCACAAACCATAGGTCCCTTGTTGGAAGAAAACCTTTAAAAGCCAGCACAAGTGATGAGTCAGTGAGTTGGCAAGTCAGTGTAAGCATGGTTAAGTTAGTTGGCTCAGTGATTCTGTCATTCAAAAAGTTAAGGAAGCGTTCTGGGCAAAGTCAGAGGAAATGAGCTGCACGACATCCAAAAGGAAAAATTAGCATGCGAGCAGATGTGGTTGTATGAGAAGAGTCTTTGCCTAACACCAAGCTGTGTACATCCTGTATTCCCCTTTGCGAGCTTGGCTGAAGTTCAAGCCCAACATTCCTATGAGTCAGGTTTGGCTGTGTGAGACATCCTCACCGAGACTTGGCCAGCACGTGAAAGCAAACATCTTTTTAAGAAATGTAGTGCATGAGTGAGTCTATGCCTGATAAAATGTGAGGCTGGGACGTTGGTGTGTGTTGGCTCCTGACTGAACCTGCCTATAGTTAGCCATCTCCCACGTGAAACTCTAGCTTCTCTCAAACAAGGCCACATTTTTGCAAGTTATTTTGGTCTCATTTGAAAGTCAATATAGAACAAGAGAGTGTCTTATTTGTCTCCCTGCTCTCTCGTCTGAAGACAGGTTATCTGGGTTTGAGGGCTTTAACTGTCATGGAAATGGAGATAACACACCACATCTTCGGGAGAGAGAAAAGGAGATAAACAGGATCTTGATGGAACAAGTATTCAGTGGATTCCTCCACAATGGCACAATTGTTCAGAGAAGCAGAGGCATTTTAATGGGACATGTCATAAGCCAATCCACCTGACTTGACACTTTGTGATACAATGGAGTTACAAATAAAAAAATAAAAAACATGAATCCATTGAAGTGCCACCACTGATTGTCTCTGAAGGCTCAGTATGTATGGGGGCATGCCAGCAGTTGGCAGGGATGAGGCCATAGGGGATGAAGTGTGTGGAGGGTTAAGGACAGTCTGGCTTTCTGCTATCTCAGAAAGGGTCATCACTTAACAAAAAGCAGGGTACACGAGCATACAGCAAAATCTGACATGGCATTTCTGATATTATGAGTGTGGAAAAGCATAGCCTATGGTGGCTCACTGCAGCCCATGTTTTTCAGCAAAATGTATGTATTCACTCTTCATGTATCAATAGGAGCTGCACATGCGCAAGGCAACCAGGCCTATATATCATTCAAGGGGAGAGCGCAGATTTCCAAGCCCCTTTACTGTTAGCCCTGTGTTCAAAGGTTGCATTTGAGTGTCTAGTTTTCTCAGCTGTCTCTCAGCGGCCCTTGTAGCCCCTTGCCAGCCATAGGGGGTAGAGGCTATGGGGGAGGTGGTGTAAGGACCAGGCTGCTGGACACTGGCTGGGCTCCCATTTGATCTCAGTTAGAGCCCCTGGCCTGTGAGAAATGACCACAACTGGACACACATTCATCATCTCCATGTCTGCTTTGTACTACTGCAGCTTAAGAAGTGAATATATTGGGTTTTAGGAGTGATGTGGCCAATGGCTAATGGTTTTTCATAACTAGAAGGTTTTGGTTCCCAAACTAAGGGAACAAAATTCCTATTTTTACATTGAAAAAGAAGTACATAGAGCAAGTTACACTTGACAATTAAGCCTTAATAATCATTACATTCTATTTTACCCATCTATACACTGGTATATTATAATTGTATCTGTATTTCTACTTGAGTGCCATCACATCTGCAAATGTGTGGTTAAGTACAAATGCATTTGTGACAATTTCCACCACACACGTAGTGTGTGTCTTTGATCTCCTAGATCTATCGTTTCTTCTGTTGCATTGTCAGTGTCCAGCCGAGTATCAGTCACCCCATCCTTCCCTCACCAAGTACTTCACCTGTCTGGCATTGCTCTGTCCATCTTAGAGATGAAAGGATGATCAGACACTCAATGTGGCAGGTTGGAAAACAAACAGTCCAAAGAAAAAAGGGAGATGAAGGGAGAGACCAAGCTTGAGGACATTCTCCATATGTTGGTCCTGTCTTGAAGCGAGGCTTGTGTTTATACAGACCTAATGCTCAACTGATCAAGCCAGCATCAGTTCCCATGTGGTCGCTCCTCTCAAGACAAAGCAGTCTAAAAGGTTGACTCAATCACACCAAAGCTCCGTAGATAAGGTGAAAGAACCAGTCTCTAGTGTTCTTACTTTTGTGTTGGTGGCAAACTAAATTACAGTGTGAGAAAGGAACACAAAGTCTGTGCAACATTCCCCAAGACTAGCCATACATATAAGAAACTCTGAATTCACTCTGTGTATTTATGAATAGCCAAACTGCTTGTTACTGTCACTATAATGAGATCGGACGTCACCTCGTGAAGCTTTGGGAATTTCCTAATGGCCTCTATATCCTCAAAAGCCACATGAGGAGGGCACATGTTTAACTTCCACCACAATAGCAGTGAAAGGGTATAGTTATTTTTACGAGTGCTTTATGAAGTAAACACATCACTAGAATTGAACCGAGAAAAACTTGCTCAGATACAGTAATGGCCTTTTGAAGGGGGGTGTGGGCCTCATGAAAGTGACGGTGATGGTGTGATTCAGCTGGTGGTTAACCTTCAGTGGAATCACACTGACATGAGAGAAGCGGATTAGATGGAGTGAGGATAGGATTATGTGGGCACTGGCTGATGTAATGGCTGATTAACCAAAATTTCATCTTCTTGTCACTCCAATCCTCTCTCTGCTTATTGTCATCACCCCAAATCTTTTTTCTTTGTTTTCCTCATCCTTACATTTTTTACTTTGTCTGTCTAGTAAAAAGAGAGCCTGATGAGCCTGGCGAGTGCAGCATTGTCGGCGTCTGGCTTCCCGGGTGGGGCACGCCAGCGAGACTTGATGATGGAGCAGAAAGTCAGTAAGCTGACGTCTGGCTTCCAACGCAGCTCCACCTCCGATGATGACTCAGGCTGTGCTCTGGAAGAGTACGCCTGGGTACCACCTGGCCTTAGGCCTGAACAGGTGAGAAAAACATAGCTTACAGACTATTCTTTTTGTTATTGTCAATGAAATTCAAAAAAGTGTTATGAGCTGAGTTTAAACAAGCATTAGTTTGGTTATGGCCCTTTAGTAATAAAAATAGGACTTGAATCATAATATTGTTCTCTTTAGCTATTGTATCCATTTCATTGGTTCATGAATCATTCCCCTAATCAGAAAAATGACTCATGGTGTATCCTCTGGACAGAGAATAAAAACAGCTCTGACCTGATTCTAACTCCCTTATAGCCCATTTGCCTGGCCCAGATAAATTCTGTTCAGTTCTTAACTGAGTAACATACCAACTTAAGTCTCTGGATAATGGAACCTATGGGACAGAAACATATTTCATAAAGCTTTTGCTTGGTCCCTTTGTTTGAGGCAGATTTGACAGGCTTTACCAGTCAGCCACTAAAGGGCAGGATGTGTACTTTTATTTACAAACTGCTGCATTGGCAAAGTCTGCTTGTGATTATCAAGTTCTCTGTTAGAAGAAGAACTTGGTGGGTTGAGCTTAGTGCTTCTGGCGGGATCAGGAATCAAGGGGAAGTCCTTTAACAAGCCTCCATCTCCACAAACACAGGCAGGACTGTTAGCTGTGTCCGCAGGGCAGCCAGTGTGATATGGCACTTTTCCAATTCGTCTTCACTCCTTATTTCTCTCTTGCCACGATTCTCTCCATCCACCTTCCCTTGTTAAACAACACGTATGGAAGCAATGTGGGGGTGGTGGGGAAGAAGAGATGGGTTTGCAGCAGCAGAAAACTTTAAAGCCCGAACATGCAGGGCCTTTTGTTTGGAAAATGCACAGGTCAACTGTAATGCCTTTACTGCAGCTGTTACCCTGAATAGGTCATGTATTATTGTTCATCATTACAGTTAAGAAACACTGGGTGATAGCTGACTGTTCCCCAGCCCCTAAGGAGCTGGATGAGGGCTAATAGCAGCATGAAAATGTGCATAATTTACGGTGGGGGGGGGGGCAAACGTTGGGTTGATTGTCAGGGTAAATGGCTGTTAACCCCCCCTCTAGACGGCCAAAGCTGCAGGAAGCCCCACTAACACACAAGACAAGCACATCCCACCTCTTTATCTGGCTGGCTGTAATAGCCCCTCCCTCATAAAGTTTAGTTTCCAGTGGCTAGCCCCAAGGGTCAAAGTGCCACAACAACAGGCTGCTTTGTCCTGTCCTGAGACAAGCATATGACTGGAAAAATACAGCCTTTAAACCAATTTGACCTGTTGACCTGTTTGGACTTGTTTTAGTACAGAATTAAATGATTTCTTCAGTTTCTTCATAACCAACGAGCACTACTGCTTTATGTTGTCTTTTATAAATAAAGCTGATGGGGGTTAGAAAAATCTCCTTTCGATTCCACAAACTAAGTCGTCCATACATCTTTTACAGAGCTGTCCCAGAATGTGTCTCTTCACAAATGAATGTGCCGGTTCTTCGGTTTCTTAAGAACATTTGGTCCTCAGAGATATGGGCTGCTCTATCCAAGACAATATAATATATGCTGTGATTGGATAAATGAAAGTTTGGGTTTTAAATTCTTGCAAACAAAACAAAACAAACAATATTTTCAAGATTGATTACTCCACATTCTTAACAATAAATTATTTGGAATGAGTTTCAGTTTGGTTGTGTGGGGAATCATTAAATCTTCCAGCTTAAATAAAATATAGTTTTTTGCCTCATGACTTTTGCCTTACTCTCACTATGTTTGTAATTTTTAAGTCTTTCCAGAAAAGTTACCAGATCCTAGTTACCTAGTCTTGATGCTTTCTAATTTTACCTTGTGTCATATGGTGTGTTTGAGTGCTTAATCGCCTTACTTCATGCTATTATTCAGGTCCAGTTATATTTCTCCTGTCTGCCTGAGGATAAGATCCCCTATGTCAACAGTCCAGGAGAGAAGTTCAGAATCAAGCAGCTCCTCTATCAACTGCCACCCCATGATAATGAGGTGAGAATATTTTGAGTGCATGGTTGTAAATGACATGGGGTATCAGTATATTATTTCTGTCAAGCTGTAAGAGAGATCCACACTAGCTGGATCTGTTGCTGCCTGCTAAACCCACAGCATTAGAAAAACTTTGAGATTTCTATGCCATCCCACTAATGTGAGCACTTGGCATTCATGTTGACATCACATTGGGGGATTTTTGTTCCACAATCGTGTAGACATGTAGTGTGGGCACAATGTGACTTTTGACTTGATGATTTTATGATGTTTGCTGGGAGCCCCCACCAATGGGATTCCTGTCATAGCAGTGGTTTTTACGAGGACTGCTCAGCAGGCAACAGGGATGCTGGCTGAAAGAGGTTTTATGTGATGCCACCACCACAGTGGCACCACAGTTCAACTTGGCTGTCTTTCCTCCTTTGTTGCCCGTCCTCTTGGTTTCATTCTAAACACAGGCCTTGTTTGTGTAAACGTCTGCTTTCCCTCTTGTTAGGGCTTTGGAAACATCAAAAAGGCCTGTTGTAAAAATGAGATTCTCAATCAGGGACCGTGGGTGGAGATATGTTGGGGGGTGTAGAAAGGGCAAGCTGGGGTCAAGAGTTGGCTTTGTTCAGTATACTTTGGTATGTACTCTGCCCACTTATACACACCAAAGTTGGTCACCTTTATTAGAGGTCTTACAGTTTGATCCTCCAAAGGGCATCATTTGAAAAGGTCACTTAAACTATTCATATCCCACCCAGCAAGTTGTTTTTTAATAGAGACCCTGAAAGGATGGGATCACCTCTATTACTGACGATCAATTGTAACACTGGCCAACTTTTTAACCATAACTTATCACCTTCATTTCCAGGTGCGTTACTGCCAGTCCCTCAGCGAGGAGGAGAAGAAGGAGCTACATATGTTCAGTGTCCAGAGGAAGAAGGAAGCTCTGGGGAGGGGTACAATAAAGCTGCTGCCCCTGAATCTTCTGAACAGCCTTTGTGAGCATGTATGTTCCCAGTTTTACATGTATTATTTACAACTGTATAGATTGGAGAGGACTGAAACAATAACAATGGTATGATGTTGTACTGAATTAAAGGATCAACATATTCTTCCAAAATTCCAAAACCATTCTTCAACTCTTTATTGTAAATTTGCTGCCTGTTCTCTGTGAGTCTTCTCCATGGGTATTGAACTAATCTTTATCCAGTTTTAACTAAAACCCAGAGGGAAAGATGACATAAATATCTCAGTGTCAGCCATGCTATTTAAGAGATCTCTAAACACAAGCTGGATTTTAGTAACCTGTACTGTGCAGCCTAGCGTGGCTCCGTAAAACGTTTCATTCAGAATTTACAATAATCATTGAGCAGCCAAAGGATGCCTATAAACCTTGTCAAAACATAGTCCCACTGATATAGATCTTTACAAGAAACAAATACTTTCTCCGAGGTATTTTCCTCATGTTTTCTTTTTAACTGATTTGAAAAGTACACACATGCAGATGAGCCACACATTAACCATACAAACAAACTTGGAAGCCATATTTCTGTGGATTTTGTGCTAATTCAGTGATTTCAGAGTGTTATAATCAATCATGTCTGCATTTTACAGTGCGGTGAAAACATCAATGGTGGAGAAATGGCAGTGTTTGCCTCAAGGGTGGGGCCTGGTCTGTGCTGGCACCCTGCATGCTTTGCCTGCTTCACATGTAGAGAACAGCTGGTAGATTTGATCTACTTCTACCATGATGGAAAGATCCACTGTGGAAGGCACCATGCTGAGCTCCTAAAACCACGCTGCTCAGCCTGCGACGAGGTAAAACCACAAGACTGATATATAAAGTAAAAAAACAAGATAGTTGGGGAAAACGTCCAGTCTTAAGTTTATGGTTTTTCTTATTTCTTTTGGGATAGCACCTACATTTATTTTACTTCCCCGCTGACTTGAATAAATTAAACAACAATATATCATGTAGATCGATGACAATCAGAAAGGCAAAAGATGTCAGTTCTGTCTCATACAATGAAAATTTTTGTCAACAGATTATTTTTGCTGATGAGTGCACAGAGGCAGAGGGGCGCCACTGGCACATGAAGCACTTCTCCTGTTTTGAATGTGAGACAATTCTGGGGGGGCAGCGCTACATCATGAAGGATGGAAGACCGTACTGCTGTGGCTGCTTTGAGTCTCTCTATGCAGAGTATTGTGAGGCTTGTGGAGAACACATTGGTAAGACAGTGATTTTTTTTGGTTAAAGTTAAACACCTGTCATGAATGCCTAGCCTTTAGATTCGTTTTGCTAACCATCTCAACACTTCCCCTTTTTCAGGCGTTGATCATGCCCAAATGACCTATGATGGGCTTCATTGGCATGCCACTGAGAGCTGCTTCAGCTGTGCCCAGTGTAAGAGTTCTCTACTGGGATGCCCCTTTCTGCCACACCAGGGTCATATTTACTGCTCCAAGAACTGCAGTCTTGGGGAAGATGTACATGCCTCTGACTCCTCCGACTCTGCATTCCAGTCAGCACGCTCACGTGAATCCAGACGCAGTGTTCGCATGGGCAAAAGCAGTCGCTCGGCTGATCAATGCAGACAGTCACTCCTCTTCTCACCTTCTGCCAACTATAAGTTCCCTGGCTTCAGTGGAAATGCTGATGACACCCTGACCAACAAGCTGGCCCACATGAACTTATCCGATGAGCATTTTTGGAGAGGACGTGGTGAGGAGACTGAGGCACCTGAGGACCAAGAGGAGGAGTGGGCTGAGCATGAAGACTACATGACTCAGCTGTTATTAAAGTTTGGAGAGCACGGGGTCTTTCAGCAAGCCAATGATTCCAGACCGACAGATTTCTGGATAGCTGAAAAGGATGCAAAGTTGAAGCAGGAATCTTCTACAGCTGGTGGCGGCAGTGGAGGAGGAAGGGGCAGTCTGGCCAGTAAGAAGTACCAGGCTGACATGTACTGGGCCCAGTCACAGGATGGGCTAGGGGACTCAGCCTATGGTAGTCACCCGGGCCCAGCAAGCAGCAGAAAAATCCAGGAGTTGGAGCTGGATCATGGGGCTGGAGGAGGCTTCCAAGGAGAGGAGCCAAGATGGTACAATGACTCTTTGGAGTGTATCACAGATGAGTTTAAGAAAACAGATCAGAGTGTCAGAGACTCCATGGACTCACTGGCTCTCTCCAATATAACAGGTGAGTAGACATGACATGATCAGGTATTAGAAAATTATCTTTTATCTGTTAGCAATGATTGGTTGTTAAAACAGATTATTGAGTCCATGAGCAAACATTTTATATATTTTTTTCTCTCCTCTCCAGGGGCCTCAGTAGATGGTGATAGTAGAGATAGACCTTTGGTTTATTCCTTGCAAGGATTCCATGAACTGGAAACAGAAGACTGTGAGAAAAGCAGTAATATGGGCACCCTCAACTCTTCTATGTTACACAGAAGTGCAAATTCCCTGAAGAGCCTTGTATTTGAGCAGGAGGAGGTGGAGGAAATTGTTCCAGAGGAGGAGGTGGTGGCTCTGCCAGTGGACAGTCCCAAACCTCAGGTCCCTGCAATCAGAAGGACACGTTCACAGTCTAGGCCTCAGCAGGTCAAATTCTCCGATGATGTGGTTGACAATGGTCATTATTGTGATCTCCCAGTGCGTCAACCCCCCATGAGTGAACGGACTCGAAGGAGAGTGTACCACTTTGAGGAACAGGGCCAGGGACTTCAATCTGGCCGACCCCATCATCACCACCACAGGAGACGCCGCAGTCGCAAGTCACGCTCGGACAATGCTCTTAACCTTCTGCCCAAGGAGAGGGCCCAGATGAGCTACAAAGTGGACCAAAGAGGGAACGGCATTGGCCCTAATGGGCACCAAGCCATCCATGGCCGACCAAGTCCTTCTGCTTTGTCCGACTGTGGGCAACAAGGCCCAGCCATGGGGAGGTTCTTGGGGCTGTATGGGGATGATGATGACTGGTGCTCCACATGCTCATCTTCTTCCTCTGATTCTGAGGAGGAGGGCTTTTTCCTGGGTCAACCCATTCCTCAGCCTAGGCCCCATAGACACTACTACGCTGATGACTTGCCCAGCCCTGTGGTAGGCATGTCTTCCTCTCCTTATGGCCAATGGACTAAGTCCAAAAAGAAAAAAGGACACAAGGGGAAAAACTGTATCCTTTCATAGGCTTTCTTTACTCACTTATCCTCAGCTTTGGATAATGCTGACATACACCTGTCACTGCTTGCTATTAATTGCTTTAGAGTACTCAATTCACCAAGGTGTTTGTGTAAGACACAAGTCCCCATACTAATTTTTCATAGGTGTTCACTTCTGTAGCATAACAACCTGCAAGTAAGACAGTATTTGAGAGTAATGTATATTTATAAAGCACCATCTGAACTGTAACAGTGCAGATATAAATGTATATATTGTAGAAAAAAAGGCTATTTTTTTATACCCTTACGTTAATGGCAGGCTCTGTACCAAAATGCCTTAAACATTTAATTATGGTAAATGGTACAGAGACATTTTCCATGAGGGTATCAGAAATGTAATGGCAAATTGACTCTGACCCAAGCTCTTCAAATGTGTTTTGTTCCAGGCTTGTGCACCGCAAACATATTAAGAGAAACACTGAGTGTATTAAAAGGCCTGGTTGAGTGGTGTATTTATGGTTCACTATATCGTAAGCAAATCATTGTAATCTGTATAAATGTACAAACTGGAATATAAGGCTAAGATAGATGATAATTGTAATAAAAATATCTATATATCTTGGTTGGTGTTGTTTTTTCATGTGCAAAAGTATTGAATTGAAATATAAAACAAGGAGTGTTATCACTTAATTCAAGATGGTAAAATTTATTTACAAAAAAATCTTAAAAGGCAATATTCACAAGTTCAGTTAAACACAAATACATGATCTACAAATAATTCTTGATCTGTTCTATACAGAATAGTGCTGCACTGCAAAACACATTATAGAGTTGGACCCTTCAATACATACGGTATGTTTAAATAAAGCCTGATATAAATCATCAGTAGGATTCAACTAATAGACCAAGACTCTAGCTGGTTGTATGATCAGTTTAAATGTCATCTGTAACCAAGTGAATGTTATAATATTTGATCGATATTTCCACATAACTGTCCATGGTAAAACAGCGGAAATTGTGTTTTGTTCATGTCTCTCCACAAGGCTCCATTTAGATATTCCTCATAATAGTTATTATTACATCTTTCACTGTAAAAGCGTATCCGTTTTGGGTATTATTTAATCTGATATGAAGACTTTAAGAAAAACCCACAGTTGTTTACTCTGTTCTTTGTATAAAACATATAAATTTTGAATTTTAATTAATTCGTTATTTGATTAAAAACAAGATAAAAATTTGGGAAATTTTTCTAATAATTTCCGAAATAAGACTTTTAAGGCTTCTCTACTTGATAATACTGCTCCTGTGTTTTGTGACCTGCAGTTTTTGCTGAGGTGTCTGGTTGCTCTAATACCTCGTCCAGCTCTTTCACAAAGTTGCAGAAGGCATCGAGGCAGCGCTGTTTCATCTCCATCAGGTTCTCATCCAGAGGAGCCTGCAGCAGATTATCCAAACTGGGCTCCTTAGCCACCAACATCTTCACCACTGTGCGAAACGTCTCACAGTCCTGCCTGTAATGCTGCACATACAACAATGACCTTAGGAATCTTACAATTTATTCATAATGATACAATTTGGTAAAAAAACTAAATAACATTAAAAAATGACAGAATAAGTTGGCACTCTACCATAATATTTACAGGTCATTCTGAAGATAAAAATGGTTATCTTATATAGATACAATATTTAATCTATCAGAGATCATTTTATTCTGATTGTAGTAAAAACACAGGTTATCAATATTTCTTCAGATTCAAAAGAAGTAATTAATAAAAACCTGTTCAACTTCTACCACTGCTAAATCCAAGATATCAGGTTGTTACCCATTTCCATATATGTGGCATGCACACAAGAATGCACACAAAAACAAAACAATTCATCATTGTGTGATTGTCATTTGAAAGTCTAATTTAAAGCATAAAACATCACATGTGTATAAGGTAAAATCCATGCTTTCATAAATTTGTGCTATTATTTCAAAGGATATTTGAATGGATCCCACAAACAAGAGAGCAGCCCCACCTGTTATCTTTGACTTCTACAGGTCAACTCTTGTCAGAACCATCTTCTGGTAAATTGGTATATTCTTTGAAACAGGTGTGTGAATGTGTGAGAGCGAGCCCATTCAAGTGCATGTCCACTCATAACAAAGGGAACATGAGGTGTTAGTGGCGCTGCAGCATTCTTTCACACCCCATTGTAACAATCTCTCACATCCCTCTCAGATTTTACTGCCGACACAAAACGGCTGTAAAGTTCTTTATTAGAGTCCCAGGTGCAAGCTCACAACATCTTTATCACCTGGGGAGAAAAGGCTAAATGTGGGGCCCTGCGCCGAGCCTGCAGAGAGAATTAGGACATCGCTAGCTTGTCAAGGAGCAGTCTACGACATCAGGGTCCTCCAGTGCTGAGTTAATGCAGCCCAGACCACCTCTTCCCTCAAATTAGAGTCACTGGGGAAGATAGAATGTGTTTCTGTGGCTTAAAACAACCACTCTGCTGTCCAATACAAGAAATCAAATCCAACTAGTACTTAATATTAGATATATTACTAAAAAACAACCATGAAGGATATATTTATCTCCCAAAACATGGTTATTATCCTCTGTTTAATATCTTTTTTGGATCAACTGTGGGAAATCCCTTGATCTGATGGAAAACTTTGTGTCACTTTTACTCAAGTGTCAGGAAACATGACCTACTTCTTCAAAGTAGCGACTTAAACAGGCTCCATTTTCCTGAGACATACTGAATATCTGTGTGATGCTCATCTGTATATAGACATTTTAGGAATGTGAGCAGTACACACTTTTGTCACAGAACAAAAATTTGTTGACGGTATCTCATCTGACATTAACTTTCTGTAAAACGCAATAAAACCTTGGTTTTGGTCATTTTGACAGGGAAAATGCTGCCTGTCAACCTCAATCAGTGTCCAGTGTTGAGCAGAATGTGAGGTTAACCGGTTAAATGGTTATATTCCAGGGTTCTGTCAGTTATGGGGAAATTTAAAACCACAAGTGCTGTTTCATTGCCTAGATACACATTACATAACGTGTGTTGAGGCTAACTCATGTTCATGTATCCATGAAGTTGAGTAGTGAATTGTAAATTAATGCAATCACAATCGCATGACTTAACTGTACTTGATGAGAGTTTCTTGAGATTTTGGGGCAAAGGGAGTGTCTGCAATAAGTTCATACACCTACTGGTATAACTGTCATTACTGAGTGAGAAAAGAATTGGTATGAATTCTTTTTTGGTATCAAGAACTGGTATCAATTATTTTCCATGGAAAATGTGAGAAGGAGCTCAGTGGGGTGGGGTTTTGAACATAAGGGTGTTTGAAAAGTTCAAAGAAACAAAAATGTTGGGACCTTCAGTTTGGAACAATCAGGACAGAAACAATTCACCACATGAGAACCGGTCACTCGGTTTTCAAGCAAAAGAACACACGTTAAAAAACTAGAAGATGAAAGAGGCTGCTGAGTGTACCTGTTGGGGAGAAGAAAAAAACGTGCACAGTTTGCTGCGCGTCTCAGACTGGGTTAAACTAGGCTCAGTAAGGTAACATGAAATTGTAAAATTACAAACAAAATCTGATGGGAGAAAATGAAAGGTCTCTATTTTATGCTGTATAACTGATAATTATATTGTTGTTATATGTTAAAAGACTACAATGCCTCCAGCTTCGACATGACTCCAGTTCTTATTCATGCTTTTTTCATCCCCCCATGATAGGTCCCCTACTGAACTAGCTACAGCATGTTCAGAAAGTAGATTCTCACTTATCTATTCATTCCTGTAACCCTAACCCACATTGTAAATCCAAGTACAAATATTTAGGAAACAGTTTGCTCAACGTACAGGGAAACTGTAGGGTAGAGTAACTATTGATTATGAATATTTAAACAACACATGTTATTATCATAATATGTATTGTGTACACACACGTACACACACACACAAACACACACAGACACACACGTACACACACACACACACACAGACAGACACAAGGGAAGGCAAGTCAAGTGAATTAAGACAGAAATATCCCAGACTGTGGGAGATATTTGGACCCAGGCTGATGCTTTAATGTCTGCAGATCATGTCAAGCGAATTTGTGGCCCTACATAATGACAGGCCTCACCACTGACCGCAAGGAAGTGAGAGACTCACAACTCGTGTGGCCAGCTAAGCTCAGGGTCAACTTCATTCAACAAAACAAGTTTTTGTTCTCTGTCGGCATACAGTAGCAGCTGTCCCATCTTAGGCTTTTCTGAACATTTTCATATAATCCTAATTGAATTACACGCAACCATAAATTGAGGTCGATTTTTACACTCTCAAGTGCAAATTTCAACTTTCCTAAACTTTTTCACTCAGCAACCATTATTTGGGAGGAACAAGAATTAGTTCCAGGTTTGAAGACATGAGAGGAAACAAGGAATAATGAGACACTAACATGTGGTGAATGTCCCACAAACCAGCACTTCTCTAATCATTTGGGGTTGATTATGTTTGCCGTCTTTCAAAACAAAATCTACCTAAGCTTCCCGTGCTAAAGCCTTTGTTGACAGTGATTACATTTTCACTACATAACGTTGCATATACACAGTTTTACACACGCAAATGCTTCAAAACAGGATAGGGAAAGGGAAAGAGCCCTCGAACCAGTATCTCACTCAATAGAGGGCATAGTTCCTCCGCCAAGGTCCAACAGTGAATGAAACCACATTTAAATTCACTAGATTGCTAGATTTTCATTTGAATCTGCACCAGACTGCATGCACTCATAAATATCAGTTACCTAAACATGCCTGATTTATTTATTTATTTTAAATCAAGATCCACAAATTATTCTCAAGGAAATCAACAAAAAAGATGAAAAATGCTCTCTCTCGCAATGTTAAAGAAATCGAGAAAAAGTCCTGTGTTTGTAGCAAAATATAATGGGTTCTTTCCTGACCCATACTGCATCATTCCACAAAGTTCTGGTTAATCTGTCTGGTAGATTTTACGTAATTCTGCTGGTAAAAAAACATACAGAAAAACAAACAACCTCTCGTCACTAATTTCTTCAATTCTATTGGATTCGGCTGCTACACTACTAAACTCCAAAAGTGTTTTGTGGACTCAAACCCTTCACCCACCCCTCCATCGGCATAGTGGTGAGTAGCTAATGAGTACATTTTCATTCCTGGGTGAACCATCCCTTTAAGAGATTTACTTTGAAGGCAGCCATCATATGTGTACAGGCACATGACTAAACATGTACATTTGTTTGAGATGAGGGATATCGCTCCACATTTATTTCAGTACTGAACAATAGCATAGAGACTCCAAAAAGACTATTTTTGTAAAAGCTGCTCCCATGTTGAACGAACAGGAAGGGTTCTTCTGACCTGAGCGTGCTCTTTATGCTGTGAGAAAAGGTTGCAGGGAGGTTTCTGCCTTCGCTCCCTGAAGTGGGAGTCATGAGCTGATCTTTAAGCCTGATACTGGGGGCCACACAGGAGAGGCTGGAGCCTCTAGAGAAACAGCAACACTCTGGGCTTTAAGGAGAAGCCTTAAAAAAGTGGGCTTCTGCCCAAATCGGATGTTTGTGGAGGTCCAAATTGTGACCATACTGACAGGAGTGTGGGGGTTTGGAAGTTGAGGGTTTGAGTGAGATTATACATAAGGCACTCACATAGGCATTTAGTGAGGCTCTGTTCAAGTGAGCGCTGATGCAGGCAGGGGTGCTGCATAATAGGGGAAGTGGGGTAATGACTTGAGGGCTGGTACACATTAGGGGATATTAAAAGAGCCATTTTAATCACTCAAGCTGCAAACCGGACCTCACGATGGAGGGGCCAACAGTTGAAATGGATATGTTTCATTTGCACTGATTGAGATGATGATCGGACTTCTCTGAAAATCACTCCCAGGCACTTCTGAAACGATATTTTCCTGGATTCCTGTTGTTGGAGCTGCTGCATTACATTCTGCGATTTGTTCTGCGGTCACTCCAAAGAGTGATACATTACTCCACACTTCACAACATGCTAGTCATTATGTCAGAAATGAAATGATTTCACATTGTGAAACATGTTATGACAAGCAGAGTCATAAACAGGGATGTTTACGTTGTCAATTAATTTGTATGAGGTTTCTGATTTCCTTTACAGCTCTGAAACACAAATAAGAAGTATGCGACACAAACTCTTTACACACGTAACTCGCAAGTTTAAGTGGTGTGAAAAATCGAGAGGAAATCCAGCCTCTGCTAACAGTATGCTGTATACACAGGGTTAAGTACTGGCTGAAAATAGAAGAATAAGGAAAGACAAAGAACAAAAAAGGATGTGGTTGTTGAAATTTTAGTTTTAGCCTCAGTGCATTTATTGTTTTTTTCAGCATTACGCAAAAATAATAATAGTTTCCGCTGAAACTTGGTGGAAGGACGGGACATGGGGTAAGAAAAAAACCCATTAAATGTTAGTGTGGATATGCACAAAGGGGCATATCCAAGAATCTTCTTCTTTTTGACTCCCCTAGGACTAATTATTGTGTCTTAAGGAATAAAGATCAGGCTTATTTAGGGAAATGAGTGTGTGTGTGTGCAGATTGTTGGGTCTTGGTGGAGGTATGGGCTCAAATTAGTTTTGGGGTCCCAACACTAACACACTAACTGCTGTTAAATGGATCAGTTCCTTCAAACAAGTTTAGGAAGATATGAGGTCCTGCTCTGCCCACTACCTGATCTGCTGTGTGTGTTGAACAGAGCCTGGGACAGATGTCGCAGCAAAGTAACTGTTGAGGTTCACCATGTCTGTAGAAGCAGTTGGAAATGGCTGGGTAAGCATGTGTGTGCTTATGCCAGGAGACGTACCACACTGTGGGTGGCCCGCCTGCATCCTGCAGGGCAATTCCTGCCCGGCTTTAACGGGAACAGATAAGTGGTACTGTAGTGGAGAGCGATGAAGGGGAGGGAAAGAAGTGCAACTCCAAATAGCAGGCCGCAACAGACGTCAAAACCTGATGTGCTGAGAGGCTGTTCTGCTGACTCAGCCTTCTTCTCTGCACCAACAAATGTTTCTTCAATTAAACACCCCCAGCCACACTATAGAGCTAATGTAAATGGTTTATGTGCATTCATGACTCAACAAATCATGATATTAGAGTGAAAAACACATGTGGCAGGGGCAACCACACAATATGGTGAACCCAAAATGAACTTAAGTCCTCTGAGACTACAATGTCTCACTTGCAGTGAACAACCTTGTTGATTGTTCCTATATATTTAAAAAATCAGTGTTTCAGTATTATTAAGGCACTAATCTCACAACGACCCACTGGCACCCTGCCTGACCTGTGCCCATGTCCTGTGTGTTCCCTTTGACTTGGAACATCCACAGCCGTCAGGTGTGATGTAAGAGAGGCAATAAATGGGTCAACTAAAAGTTAGAATGATAAGACCACAAGAACACAAAATACATGTCATAATAAAAAAAGCTCAAAGGGGTGAGACAAGTCTACAGGTTCCCCTTGCTGTTTCAGGATTGTTGTTTTTTTTATCCTTAAACAAGACAGAATAAATCAGACTGTCCTTCATTATGAGGAAAAAGTATCTTTGTCATGGAAACAAGAAAACAATCTCTATGAATTGGTAGATATTTTCACTTGTTTAAAGAAAATTACATTTTAAAGCTCAGCAATTTACAGTATATTAGAGACCCAGTGATAATGGAGCACGGTTCAGCTTTAACAAAAAAAGAAGAGGAGAAGATAAATTGTGGTCTACGCAACAAAAAGTTAAGCGAATTCACAATTGTTAGGTGGTTAAATGATCAAAACCTCGCTACCTTCTCAATTTCCAGAGCCTTCGCCTTAATGGCTTCCAACCGGCCCGCCTTCGAGTCGTCCACTGGTGTCGACTTTGGCTCCATGCTGGCAGCCAGCACCTCCTGCGTCTCCACTACAGATGCAGTTTTTTCCTGGCAGGTCAAAGGTTAAGGGTTAGAACCAAGGTCACCAGGTTTAGAAACTGGTTCTGATTTCAAAGTGTTTCAAATAGAGACAAGCCTTCTCTCTTACGGGTGTTGAGGTCTTGTTATCATACATGTCTCATTACGCATGCCGCATGTCAACAGTAAACAGACGTGACCAAATACAACTCTCTGGATACAGAAATAATGACCCAGTGACACAAATACTCAACATTGTTGTAACTGTTTTTAGACGGAATACAAACAATATACTATAATTGCCATTTAATGTTAAAGCTGCATTAACACTGCATAATATTACAGTTGTAAAATTGTTTAAAGACGTTTTTATAAGACACAACAGCAAAAAGATTTTGTACGAAAAGGCTTACGGTGGTTTCTATGAATTATTTTTATTTTACATCAGTATTTCTTTTATTGTTTATTATTTCAATTTACTGTTATTATTCTAGCTGACAATAGTTGGAACAGGTCGGTAGTGATTCATCATAGACCGAAAGAGTTAAAGAATATTTATTTTTCTTTTAAAATGTCCATATTAGACCAAATTAAAAGACTAAAATGAACATAACATACTTTTGATGGGTCACAAGAATTAAGTGACAAACTCAAACAGTAGTAGTTTATTACTCCAAGTGATATTTCATCACATCAGATTTTTCTCCAGCCTTTTAATTAAGGTTCAATAATACAGTATGGTAGTTGCTACTGTATTTTATTACCTCAACCTCATTGTTAGGTTTTCAGGAAGACACAAAAACTACTGAACAGATCTCAACAGGGGATGGGACATGGGTCGGGAAAAGATCAAGAAATGTCTTATCACAATGTAAGATTGGGTGTTTTTTCTAACATTTTCACTGATTTTCCTTATAATAATTCATAAAATCTAAAATTTGTCATATTTAGATGGCTGATATCTATCTATCCGTTTTCAGACATGGCCTGCAGATTGAATGATTATATAAGAACTATGCATTACCTTCCTTTCTTTTTGTTTCGTTCTGTCTCTTAAAATACAGTTACAACTCTAAGCCCAGATGGGCTGTTTTTTGTTTGTTTCTGAAATACAAGATGATGCAACTTAGACTCAATCTCAGTTATGAAAGTGGGGTCACAGGTAAATACCGTTGGGCTTTGGCAGAGATATGTGTTGAACTCAGTGCCTTTCAAGTTATATTGTGATTTTACTCATGTGTTTCTTCTGAAAGCATATTGTCTCTTTTACCTTGGAAGATCCTGAGCTGTGAGGAGACTCCTCCACAGAGCTGCTGGGAGTGCTGCTCGCCAGCACATTGGGTTTATCTACAGAGAGAATAAAGACAAATGGAAATGGAAAGAACTGTGAGCCAACATGCAGATAATGATCCTCAGATAAATAATGGAAAATACAGCGTTCTGACAAAGAGGAGACAACTATAAACAGAGGGGGCGACCTGTAGAAGACATGAGGGTAACCATGGCATTCTTTTATTTAATTTAGCTTCGTACTAAAACCCTGGGGGGAGCATCCCAGTGGGTTGGTGGTCTGGGACAGACTGCACTGTGCCATCTAATAATGGTAAAAAAGCCATAACATATAATAAGAATTTTAAAAATACAGCAGGGAACAATTACTTTCTACTGTGAGACATTAGATAATCAGTCGTTATTGTGAACAATTGTGACGCCAAGGCATTATCCTGCAGCTGAAAAGAATAAATCATTATTTTGTTTATCACTCCCTTGTTAGAGCCTCCCACACAACAGTGGTCGAGGAGTTCGACTGTGCCTAAATTGAAATATTGTCCCTTTTACTGGCTCCACTGTGTCTAGAACAAAACAAATATATTAGAGTTAGTTGTTTTGTTTAAGGAATCTCCCATACTTATTAGAGTGAGCCTAGGTAACACACCCTGAATGGAGTCCCTAAGTGGTACAATGGACTATACACACAAACAATAGTGGTAAAGGCTGAGGCATTCTAACAAACTATTTTTAGTCATCGCCGACTAAGATTTGAATCATTGTAGAGAGCTTCCTTGTGCACAGCACAAACCTGGTATACCTACCCCATCACCAAATCCCTACTTAGCTCTGCTGCCCTAATTAATATGCCAGATGGAGGTGGAAGAGGGAGGTACAACTGTTTTCTCACAGTTTTATTGCATCTTCAAAGGGTGCTACCACCATGTTGCTAACACATTAATATGTTTCTGCATCTTACAAATCAAAGCATTGGAAATATTACTGTCCTCACTTCTCTCCCTCAGACTAATAACATGCCTTATGTCAGAACAATTTGACAGCAGCTCTGTAAAAGTAAATTCATAAACTTCATTAGCTCTGCATTGTTAATTAATTTTAAGTTGCGAAGCCTGTTAAGGTCAGAAAACATATCAAATGACAGGGCCACAGTGATTGTGAAGACATTGTTAAACCAGAGCATGAATTGGTTTCTCCCTGAAAAAAACAAGGTCAGAATCTGTATCCAAAGCCAAACCACCCCAATAAACCCAGGGTATCCTTTTCCCAGCCTCTAAAACGTGTGGTGTTGGTGTAATTAACATCTTAACGTGTTTCAGCATTCCCTGACCCCTCACACTACACCTCCAAAAACAGATGCTCCACCTGGAATGGCTTAATTCTTTTACGCATTATAATTACACACGTTTCTGTAAAATGGGGAAAGGGTCTCTTTTGTTGTCATTACAAAACAGCTGCAAGGACACACATTGTATTAGATAAAAGGTAAATTCACAGCTCTACTGGCTACAAGCCATCTAATTGTCTCCTACAGGTTTTACTTTCCGTGACCAATCTCAAACTGGTCAAAAACCCACCAACACCCACTTACATCTGGCTTTTGTCTGAAATGGATACAATCAGCTTTCACTCCCAAGTCACATGATGCTGCAGTAGACACAGGGCTTCGAACCTGTGTATACCCGCTAACTTTGGTGTGTCAGGTAGTTCAGAGTGATGTTACTGGACATCATATTATCCACTGGGGCAGCCGGTTAAACAAACCTTTTCTCTGCCTCTGAAAAACGGCAGCCTGAGTCAGTAGCTTCCGTTACATCAACGCCTAAAACATTCTTCTATTGTACGGCATTCCCTGATTTGACCTTATTCAACTTTTTTATGACTGTATTAATGAACCTTTTATTTTCCTTCTTCTTTTTTTATGCACTTTGTAACTTTGTTTTGAGAAGTGCTATATAAATAAAAAATAATATTATCATGATTATTGTGAAATAAGTATCAAGAGGCTCACAAAATATTCTTATAATTCTTCTTGTCAGCTACTAGGACTTTATTTCAGGACATTCACCTGATCACCACACAAGGTTGTAACTCATCACTTACTTTTCTGCTGGGTCTGCTGATGTGCCTTTGAGCCTTTGGCCTTGTCTGGGGAGAAACTCCTGCTTCTGCTGTTGGACCCAGAGCATGCAGGTATCTGGGCTTCCCTCCGTAGAGGGGAGCGGTGCCGTGCAAGTACAGCTGACGCAGAGCTCATGTAGTCATCTTGGTCTCCTCTACAGAAATTAGCAATAATCAAGAAGTTCAAGTGTCCAGTTAATCCTGCAAAAGGGTGAAGTTTGAAAAAGGTTCTGTGCAGCAAACAAGATACAATTAATTGTGTTAAAAATGGTTTGGATCAGTATGTGTATGAATGGATTTATCCAATTGTATGTGTGCATGATAACCTCAGACAGTAGCATCTTTTGAACAGTAAGCTGCATTTAACACAGGATCTAATTCTTCTGAGGAAGTTTCTGCTGAACAACAAGCTCCGATTTTGGCAGATTTAACCTTTTTAAACTTTCCTTATGAATGAGATTTCAATACAGGACCTTTGTGGATAAACTTAGTGTTTCTTGTGATGAAAACCTCGCACACTGGACATTCATTTCTATACATACAATGTAAGAGTGGAATATAATTTTTGTGTTTGAATATAAGTTAACGCAATAGCCAGTGTCAGTGTTCTATGTAACTGAATTGTCGTGTTTAAATGTAAGCTCAGGTCTTAAACCAAAAACTAGACATCTGATTTCAATCTCTCCCTGCTTACACAGTTGGCTTGTTGGTTTGTTTATTGGTTTTACTAGTAAAAAAAAAGAAATGGACATGAGGAGACTGACTTGGCTTTTTTGTCCACCGCTTTTTTCCGAGCAGGACGAGCCCGTCGGCCTCTGCCTCGAAAATAGGGACCAGGTCGACGACTGTTCCTGAAAAACATTGGGGGAAAAAAATTCTGACTCAGATAAATCAATGGCTACTAACGCTGCTCTTCACCCTGGCGACGACTGTTTGATAAACAACTGTCTACGGAAGATATGATAAACAAATCAAGAGTTTGTTGACTGCAAATTCAAAATGCATCATTTCCATCATAACTGGTTTAAAAAGCAACAGTGTTGAGTATTCGTCAGAGTGTGCCGACGAATGTGTAATGGAAAAAGAATAAAAAAGGAGGCAAAACCACAAAGACTTCAATTCCAACTGTGGCACACTGATCAATTTGTGGAATGGAGGCAATCACCACTTTGGCACAAGCAACATTTGGCTGAAAGTTGCATGAATTTTGGTCGTCTTTTACTATCTCTCTTTAACAGTAGGCACAGGCACGATTACACTAAATATGATGCTGAAGTTACAACGCACAGTAACCATGTGATGTAATGACCGTTTTTGATTTATATGTGAAACCATTAAGTTGTGAAATTTCACCGTTCACTGCCCCTTGTTTTTATGATTTTCCAGGCTCAAAGAAAAAACTTGTGTGTGAAGGACAACCTTTAGGTCCAGAAGTATAAATGACCCACAAGCACCTGGTTGTCACGACCTCTGTCTGAACTCGAGCCACATCTCAAATACAGAGCAGGTCTAACAAGGCCTCAAACTTTTACGACTTATGCTGTGTTTGAAGTAGCCAAGAACCAGCCTGCCATTTGCCAAACGCTGGACCGCTTTCCTTACAGTACAAAGCCAACATCAAAAGGCGATGATTGAAAAACTTTGAGTACTTAATTTAGGGGGGGGGGGGGAACTCAATAAAAGGCAAATCAATCTTTTAACAGACAGACATTCACCCAAAAATTACAGACATGTTAAGGGTCATGCCTGAATGATGAAAAGTTCAATGAAATAATTTGTTGTGACAGAAATCCTGAAAATAACCTGCGGGATTAAATGAACAAATAATGATAAGGAGGACTTTTCACATCTTTATTTCTTTGATATCGACACAAAGCACAAAAATGCCCTGGCTTCAGGTAACTGGGTGGGTTTATAAAGGGAGCGATAAAAACGATAATTTGGAATACAGTTAATTTCATGATCTGTTGGCAAAACCTCCAAAATAATGCTAGAAGAGGGACTCAGTGTCAATACAACTTCATGGTGATACACTTCTTGTCTGTATCCTTGTCTCAATCTGCACAATAAGGGTCATGGTGTAGCCATGGAACCACAGCCACTGAAGCTGCACCATTACTCCACATCAGTGCAAACTCTTGTTTTACAGAGTCTAGAATGCCAGGACTTTCTGTCTTGTGTTAGGGTTGAAAGACTCATTTTATATTTGCCCCTGTGTCTTCAAGGCCACTGAACCACCCTGTGCAAAAATGTATCATACACAGAGGCTTCCTGCTTTGTTGTCTGGGAAACGGGATGAGGGGAGAGGCGATCAGTTTAATATTGGTATTATACGGTCAAAGCTGGTGAAATGTCAGCCTGAATTCAAAGTGACTTCCATGTACATAGCCAACACCCAATGCATAATAATGAATCAAATTTTCAGTTGACCAGGGTGAGCATCCAAAAACTGAAGCAGTAACAAAATGGCTATGATGTTTCAAAAAAGAGTCAAGCAGTAATTCATCAGTGAAGTGTGATCACAACCTCAGAATGTCCACCAACGCATGTGCAAAACATGAGTCAATGGGTAATGTTTCCACACGAATCACTATGGAATGTTAAATTAGCCTAGATGCATTTGAATAGTGAGCACGTCTTCCCCCTTTGAATAATTTGACCAATTTGCAGCAGATTGATTTTAAAATAATCTGGAACTCTTCTGGTTTTTCTTGTTTTATTTTAAGTGCGGACAAGGTTGCAAAAAGACACTATAGATCTATGCTGCTCAGAATATCTGAAGTGTGCGGATGTTTGACTGAAGAGGGAGTGGTCCAGCTGTTTTTGCTCACAGGGTGGGGGTGGGGTTGTGTGGCTGAGTGAGTAGACACTAGTGCCCTTTGTCCCTCTCTCTAGCCTGGTATGACTCCTGGAAAGAAAATTGGGCCTGGGCCTATAAACTGCTGGTATGTTGAAGTGGCCGGAGCAAGGCGAGTGTGTTGTTATAGGAATTACAACCACCGGACTCAGCTGTTCTGTGATGGGTTAAGCTCTTAAACTTAAGTTGTGAGTTGTGTGGTCACAGTTAATTGAGACATGATTCCTAAATCTATTTATCAAAGCAGCACTTTTCTGCCAAACAAACAATTTGTACCTATGGACGTTATATTCTTATATCGTCTTGGGTGGAATGTAAAGGTTAGGTTCAAATATATTGTAAAATAGATTGCTTTACATTGTTGTATAGTTTATATTAAAATATATAATAAATAATGCTTATTATAAGCTGGGTAAAATCAATCAAGCTAATAATCTTCACTTTTCAAAACAAAATACTTTGCCTCCACCTACAGGTCAGTTTGATGCATTACACAGATAATTCAGTGGGGTAACTAATTATCTCACACAACTCTGGAATGACAAACAAAAACTGGTCAATTGACCAAATGAGAACACTTGAAATAGTAAGTTCAATATAAATTACCTTGAATCTAACTGATACCTCAAGTCATCTCTGGCATAACACTGCTGGGAGTACGTGTCCTCCTGAAAACAAAATCATATATACAACAACATTAATTGGTAAATACTGGTCCATTTGTGTTATGGTTCTTTTTCAGACTTGAAAAAACTGACTGTGATTTACAAACTATGTATAACAAGATTTTCTCACATTTCGTGAGGGTGAGGGATTTCTGTGAAAGTTGTCATAGTTGGAGTGGTCTTCATAGTAATGATGATCCTCAGGTGGGTAACTGCTTTCAGCGTAATACTCTTGTGTATCCTGGTAACCACGTGGACCACTGTACCACTGGTCATCATGAAAGCCTCTGTCATACTCCGAACCCGGCCGAGGCACAACGCTCCGCTTTTCACCAATATTGACTACTTGACGAAAGTTCACCTGACAGGACACAAAAATACCACATTTTATGTTCTGATCAAAATAAAAAAAAAGCCCAGTGAAAGTCAATAGGGTTTAACAGGATAAAAAGCTGCAGAGGGGTGGTGCATATCCTGTGTGTGCTGTTTGGAAGAACCATCAAATAATCAACATTAAAAATTTTGCAAAAAAAAGATTTTAACTTAAATTACCTTTTGGAAACATCACAATTACCATTTAACATTTTCAAAAGCAGCATTGTGATGTGTAACAGAATTTTACATAAGACAATATGTCATGACATGTCCTCTAACCACAACTAGTCAAGGCCGTCAATGGATGTCCACACTGAGTCTAGTGTGTCTAGGCAGAATGGGGTAAGATGAGCCACTTTTACATTTGATGATTTTACTGCAAAACAGAAGTGTATTTGTTTCAAACAATAGTTACTATATATACGTCAGGTTGTTGTGTAACCATGGAAATTTTGAAGTAGATATCTGATTATTACGTTTTCAGTACAATGACGCATCAAAAGTTGGTCCTTTGGCAAAACTCACCCCATGGTGTTGGTAAAATGATCATAGTGTCGCAAAAGAGGTGCTGGATCTCGAGAGCTTAGCAAGTGACATCATAATTCTGGTATATAGCATGAAAAGAGGAACAGTTCTATGTAAATGGGAAACTATCCGTGTGCAACAGGGTGCAGAGCAGAGCTAATAATAGTCAAACAATGTGTGTGTATTATAAAGACTTTTAATCACCATAGAAAAAATGTTCCAGCGAACATGTTTCGCATAAATTTGTGTGTTAGCTACAGAAAGAATGTATGTGCATCCCGCATCCGCCGGCCCTTTACTGTGTGTCACTTCCCCGTCTCTCTGCCCCCTGCTTCCTGTCTCTCTAGAACTGTCCTATCATTAAAGGCATAAAAGCCCAAAAAATATACTTAAACAAAAAAAAAAAGAAAGAACGTATGTGTACGTATGTAAAGTTAACTTAACATTAGTCAACAAGGTGTTCATTACATTAACATTGTAACACTTGTAACAGTGATCGAACATCAACAGGAACTTGTAGCAGTGACACAGAAAGAGTTAGTGTATGTGTGCAGTGAAAATTGACTGACCATTGGCTCAATTTACCCCCACATCACTGGCTCCATCTACACAACAACCACCATTAAAAAAAAACAACTGTCACACACAGTAGCTCAGATCAACAGGTGTTTTGTAGCTTACAATGACTTTAATTAAAATGTGTTAATTTCAGAAACGTATCTATTATATTTAAAGAACAAGACTGATAACCTTAGTGACATGATCATTTTACTTTGTATGACATAAATCTGTTTTTTTGCTCTGGTTTGCTTACCACTCTCTCCATGTGCTTGAATCAAAAATGGAATGAGTAATGCCGACTACACTTTCTTAATTTGTGGTCACAAGATTTTTCTTTTATGGTAACCTAGATACAGGGGTTGGCTCATCTTACCCATTGGCTCACCTTACCCCGTACTCCCCTAAGCGTATCTCAGGAAAACACAAAGATGTCAAGAGAGCCTTTAGTGATGAGAGCTGTGCTTTGGTGTTGATGTGCTGTAGACAAGAATACTTGACATCCACTGGAGTTCATGTGTTGAATAGAAGTGGATACCACATCAATATTAATCTTGCGAGCCAAAGAACGAGGCTGATTGTTGTTTCTAATGACTAAATAGTCCTATTAATGCCTACAACTGCTCATAAGACCAACAGATTGAGGATCAGTTTACTTAGTAATAACTGACGGGCCTCTGTCAAACTAACAGACTTTGGCCTTGCAAAACAACATCGTCACTTACCTCTCTTGAATCCATTTTTGGGAAATGTCCTTCATATGCCTCTCTAATTGAGTTTCGATCATGTCGATACGCCACTGCAAAAAACACATTTTCTTTTTTAACATTTGAGATAAATGGTGGAAGAATATAACTACATTGAATAGTTGTGCTTGGTGAATTGAGGACGCCAGAACAGACGTTCTGTAGACAGTCAATAAGGCCAGGTATTTTTTTCAAACAATATACGAAATTTCATTCAATGCCTGAATGAAATTTCGTCATCACTGGTGAGCAGTTTAGAAAAATTTCAACTCCCTCCCTTTAGCCAAACCAGAAGATCCTGAGCCAGTATTCTCATCTGTGAAGGAAAAGTGTCAGACCCTCAGTCCAACCAGATGAACTGTGAAAAGCTGGAGATTTAAAATACAATCTTTCAAAACAGTCCCCTCCTAAACTAGTGGAAGCTGAAGACTAATTCTTTTGTTTTTGTTGTACACTAGATATATTTGGGTTTGCGATCAAAAAGCTTCTCTTACATAAAGGTTTCCTGTTGTCCTCTGTTTTAAATCGTATCAAACCCAATATCTTAGGGTCTGGATTATGGTCAACAGAACATTCGATTTTGTGTCACTCAGGAGTGGACGTCCTCTGACATTAAAAAAATAAACAATGGATTGTTTCATCAGGACAATAAGCTGCAGATTAATTGATACTGAAAGTAATCAGGGCCTAATAGTTGTAGAAATATGCAGAATGCCACTGCTATAACCTACTGTTGAAGGGACCGTGTTAGGGTTCCTTCTGGGTCTGGGTGTGCTCCAGATGTCTGATGACAGAATGATGAACCTTGAAGAAGGAAAAAGAAAACCTTGTTCATCAGACTGAGCATGAAACTATTCACCCCACATTCAAAAATGTGTATACACACAAACTCTGACCTCAGTTCAGCAGAATTTACACAACATCTCCACCAATCACATCAAGACACTTACACACAGCAGTGCTACTCTACCTCCCCCCACCAGAAACAGTGTGAACAGTCCACGCGGGTGTCAACCAAAGGACTTCCGCTGCTATGATGTTACTCTGACTGAGCTACAAGCTGCAGCAGCGCTGTTATTAGCAAACCTGGCTAGTTAGCATCGTAGCACAAGTCCAAAGAAGCTCACTCACCAAATGATGACGTGAACGCTGCCGGCCACAAGGTGCGTTTTACATACTTCTGCTCTAAGGGGAAAAGCCTCTTTACATGAGGTCAAGTTCCGTGTCAGTGCTCAGTTTCCATTTCGTGTTCATGTGCAAGTTAAACCACAACCACTGTCACAGCTTCTTCTTTTTCTTTAAGATGGCAGAGGACACGCAGCGATGGCGCTTTGCTGCCGCCCCCTAGGTGTGGAGGCCTACTGCTGCAACCACTTATTTTATATACAGTCTCTCCTCCTCCTCCTCCCCCTCCTCCTCCTCCTCCATACTCCAGTCTCCTATGGTTTCTGGTACCTGACAGTGTTCACAAAGGCCTGTTGGATGTTTCCCTATAATGTGGAGTGTCCTGTTCAGGTTGCTGTGCCCTATTCTAAGTCGAGTCATTACCACTTCCTCTCCTATTTCCTTCTCTGTTTCTTTCAAAGATCACTCTGATTTTTAAAGAATGTCTCCTCTCTTATCTCCAGATCTTAGTGTTGCCAACACCCTTAATTGATTTGGGCATGTTTTATGGGCTCATAAACCATGACGCTGCCCATCAGCCCACTTCTATGCCCACAGTGGCTTAACCTCAGTCCCAATAATTTAACTTGGTCTACTCTTCTTTCCCTCAGGAAATCCTATATACACAGTACAGCAGGGTAACTACAGCATATAAGTTCTGCTCTCATGGTTTATGACATATTTTTGTGTTCCTTATCTACTCAACACTATGCCGATGGAGGGGTGGGTGAAGTCCACAAAACACTTTTGGAGTTTCAGGGGTAAGCAGCGTTCTCGCTGATCTTGTCTCGTGACATTTAGGCAAAAAAGTTTCTAGTTGAATTTGAATGTTGGGGCTTGTGGAATTTTTTTTCTGTTGTTTTTTTTCTGTTTGAAGAAGTGTCCACCAGTTACTTCAATTGAATTGGATTTGCCTGCAACACTGTTTACTTCTGAATCTTCAAAAGTGTTTTGTGGACTTCACCCACTCCTCCATCCGCACTGAGTAGATAATAAGGGAATTTTCCTTTTTGGGCGAACAATCCCTTTAAGTTAAATCGTCTTTGTCTCAGTCTGCTTTGCACAGATACAGCAGGTACATCACTTATTACTTTTGAGTACATTTCAGAACCTGTACTTTTATAAGTTTAATTGAGTAAAGAGGTGGAATCATTGTACTTTTACTTGTTCCACAAGTAGCTGTACTTGTACTCTGAGTAAACACTGTGTGTACTTGCACCTCAGAGGATCAGTGATCTCGTGCAGTGGACCCTCCATCTTCATCAGTCTTGTGTCACTTCTCTCACTGCCCCTGTGTTGTGATCACATCAGCGCTGATTGGCTGAGGCCCCATCACGTGTTCCCCCTCCGAGTTTCCCCGACAGCTGAGCAGCGGCGGCGGCAGCAGCAGCTAAATGCTTCTGTTCACCTGCATCATCGCAGCGTTTCCACTCGGAACTGTCACAACTTCCACAACATGGGCGACAAGAAGAGTCCCACCAGGTACAGCTGCCCCTAGAGCCGCCCGACGAGCACTTTTACCGGGCCGTCAGAGCCCACACGGCTCGGTCAATGGATGGAGGTGTTGTGCTGAAAGTCTTCATGGCGGCCGGTTTTAATACGAGGACTATCTGCCTGTTTCAACCGAGAGCGTCTCGTTCTCTGGGACTTGACTCCTGAGCCGAGTTTCCCGGAGTGTCGCTTCTTGTGCAGTCTGTGGCCAGTGTGCGAGAGGAGCTTCGCTGCCTGTGGTAAAGCGTGTGTTTGTGTTTTGTCTTCTGTGTGCAGGCCGAAGCGGCAGTCCAAGCCCTCCGCAGACGACGCGTACTGGGACTGTAGCGTGTGCACGTTCAGGAACAGCGCGGAGGCGTTCAAGTGCATGATGTGTGATGTCAGGAAGGGCACGTCAACACGGTGAGAGACGTCATGGTAAAATTAAAGGTTCAGTGTGTAAGATTTAGTTACTGTAGATACTAGTTATGTGTTCACTAGTGTTAAATCATCTACATTGTTTGAATTGTTGTTTTCTTTAAACTAAATGGGCCCTTTATATTTAAATACTTAATATTTACATTGGGAGCGGAGACCACCATGTTTCTTTACAGTCGTCCAAACTGGAAAAACTAAACCTTTTGAGTTTGTATGACAGCTAAAGGCTACTACAGGTTCTCATCCATGTTTGGAAGGGGAGGGTGAGGTGAGGAGCATTCAGCTGCAACATACAACTTCACCACTAGATATTACTAAATTCTACACACTGAACCTTTAACCTGCAGCCACGAAGACTTTTATTATAGTGAGGTTAACTAAAACTACTAAAGTAGAAGTTGCAGAAATGCTAAATACCCCCAGTCCTGTAATAGATACTGTTGTGATGTTCAGTGTTTGATGAAACTGTTTAGAGCGTTTTTTTACATCATCTGCAGGGCCGTGCAAATGACATCTCTCTAACATATATTTATAAATGAACTTACAATACGGAAAAAAATCTTATCGCAATATCTTTTTATCAATATAAATCACATTATAAATCAAATCACCATTTCTGTCATTAATGCTTCACATGGTAAAAAGATTAGTGGTATTACCTGTCTTTGTGGGAATATGCTTTCGACACAATTTGCAGTGCATGCTTCTCTGCCTCTTTATGGACTTTAAATAGCCGAAATATCTCCACGCTGCCGAATTCTTCGGACTCTTATTTTCAACAATGTCCTTCTTCTTCTTTCTTTTGAGCCTTGGACTGTGTCCGTTGGGGTGTCTTCTTTGGTGATGGTGTTGTTCGAGTTTTCGTTAACCCCTTTTTCTCTTTTATCTCGCTCCGACTCCTGATGTTCTGGTGTGCATGGCTGCAGAAGCCCAAACATTAGCATGTGTGCTGCTGCCAGCTGCTACTCCTACGCTCTGTGCTGTGTGCATCAACCTAACCTGACGTGGCTGTAACTCTATTCTAGCCACATGATTGGTTGGGTGTGGCACTATTCTCATTATCATTGGCTGTTTGTGTTGTCTGTCAAAACATGGATGGAATGAGTTCTATGGACCATGTCTTATACTTCTATCAAGGAAAAGTGATTGTGATAATTATCTTTATCATTTTATCGCCCCAGCCCTAACAGTAGTGCACCTTTAATTACACATTTATTTATTCAAGTACTCATGTACACACATGAAGATATCTAATACTCATGAACAGATTACTAAAATATTTTTAATTCGTATAGACAAGATGGTCTTGCATTCACTTTTTATATATATATATTTCATATAGAGTGTGTCTATATAGTATTGCATGTACCATGCACATGTAGGGTATGCATCTCCCCTGTGATGCAGTGACAACAATTGTTAAGGCATTTTAAGCACTTCACCTGGTTTACACCAATGCTTAAGGGCCTGGTCACACATGCAAATACAAAGTAAATATTGTGGGTCAAATTTGACCAAGTTTAGACTACACTCAAAGCCATGCTGCAATTTGCCTCGCCGCTGGAAGGGGATCAGCCCCCTCACTCTCACAGATTGGAAGTGAATGGAAGGCAAAGGAACTGATGCCATCATGGGCCGTGTTAAAAAGTTTGATTTGTATTTAGAAAAACAAATTCAAAAACATTTTTAGAAAAGATTACTTATTTAGTCAGAGGCTAAAAGGACAGGTGCTGCGGTGTATCTGTGCACATGCCTGTTCAGTGTTCAGCTGTACTAATCAGTGGTATGTTGGTCCAGAGGGGGCAAAAGTAGTCTGTTGTGTGTGATATGTTCTGTGTTATTGTCCCATCTACTTCGGTTGAAATCTGTCTCGATGTTGATAAGGAGGCCCTCGATGATGAATTTTTTTTAAAAGCAGGTAATTTCCCCTCAGATCCATTGAAACCAAAATAACAAGCCTGTTTAGAAAGTTTAAGGAGTGGAAAGTCCAGATATTTGTGTTTTAATATATGGGGTAAAAATAAAGTTTTTGCTGCGATTTGGACTGATGATACATTCAAATTAATAAACTTTGAATAAGCAGATGGAAAGCTTTTTGTGCCGCTTTAGGTTTCTGTGCAGCAGCCGGTCCTTACTTGCCACAGATATGTTACTGCAGGCCACTTAAACAATTTCAGAAAGAAAGCTGCAAACAGCATGACCACAGACCAAGTAAACAGAACATTCCAAACAGGCAGGTTTAGAACAGGCACTGCACTAGTTGAACTTTAAAACACGGACTCTTTTTCTTTTGTCTCTTTCAGAAAACCACGACCGGTTTCTCAGCTGGTTGCACAGCAAGCAAATCAACAGTTTGCACCACCCACACAGCCAAAAAAGGACAAGAAAGAGAAATCAGAGAAAGACAAGAGCGAACCAACTCTGAAAAAGAAAAGCCATAAAAAGACGAGGTAATTGATCCACGTGTTAAAAGAAAATAGTAAAATATCTCAAAATATTTAGTTTTCTTAGAAATATAACAAAAATATTGAGGATCCTCTGATCAGTTTTCATGTTTTTTAATTTTTCTCTTCTAATGTTTCTCTCCAGGCCAAGGTTGAAAAACATAGACAGGAGCAGCGCCCAGCATTTAGAGGTCACAGTTGGAGATTTGACTGTAATAATCACAGACTTTAAGGAGAAAGCCAAACCCACTTCTATAGGTGCTGCAGACCAACACAGTCAAAGTGGCTCAAGCTCTGATAACACTGAACAAGGTGTCTCCAGATGCTCCTCACCCCGTGGAGAAAGCTCGTCGGTCAACGGAGAGACTCACTAACCTTCACACTCCAAGTCAGCACAAGTGATTCTTCTGCACTCTCAACAGCCTCAACCAGAGATTAAACACCATGCACATCTTTTTTTTTTAATACTATAAAAGCCAGTACGATAGCATTTACTTCCATCTGGGGTTGTACTTTTCACTGCCTTCCCATAATGATAAAGAATTCAGGAATTTAGAACTGTAACAGAAAAGCTGATCATGATGAACAGAAAGAAGTAATGGATGTTGGTGGAGCTGTACCACATGATGTAATTTAACACCTCAGAGTTATGTTAGCATCACACTCGGGCCTTGTTCATCTGTTACAGCTCAATGACAGGTGTGAATGCAGTCAGACCACATTCATTTAGCAGTGTGAACGTAAATGTCTCCTGAGCCACAATGACGGACTGCCTACTCAGCTTAAGTCCTCTGACCTGCTACAGTTTCACAAAGAATCACATTTCTTTTGCACTTTTCAACATGTATATACACAAAAACTCCTCAAAATGCCCAGAAAATTGGGTCCAGATATTTTCCAGGGTTTGCCTTTCGCATATGAAGAATGCAGCAGGAGATTATCTGGGGCAAATGCGTTCACAGCAGGGGCATTTCAGGGAACATTCAGGTGGGAGTGACTCCTGGGTGGAGCATGAAGGAAATATAAATAACGTATAAATTCTGCTGCAAAAGCTCAGTTATCTTGTTTATAGCACATCGACACCAGCGTTGGCCTTTACAACCAAAAGCTCTCAAATCTCATTGCCTTTCCAAGTTGACATCTGTGTCCGCGTCTTCCTAGGCTCATCTTTTTCATCCTCAGGTTTTAGTCCAGTTTTGTTCTTTTGCGTCTTAGAAACGTCAACGACATGCCCAGTCGCCCGCTGTGAACTTTTACAGACATGTTCCTGTTGTAGTATCACATGGGCTCACTCTGGGGGCTGGAAAAGGGCAGGAAAAGTTCAAGAAAATTACTAGAGCAACTAACTTGGTCATTTATGTTCTCGCAGCCCCTTTGGAAAATTTCAGGAAAATATCTGGACTTCAGGGCATGTCTGAAAGCAGACTCTCACGAACATGTGAACAACAGACAGATCTGTTTAATCAGAGTGGGTGGAAACAACATGATTTGATCTTTGCAAACAGAAATGACATATGTTTGTATTTGCATATAGAGCAGGGAAGTGAGATCTTATCGCGAGTGGTCTCTGGAGACATTCTAATGTCAGGTATGAACTTCCGTCCTCAGAGCCATCCACTTGTGATCAGATCTCTGAGACGCATGTTAACTCCAGATCGGAACAGGGCCTTGGTTGGTCGTTGCAGATGAGAATAAGTGATGCATTGTGAAAGAAAATGTGAAGAAGTCCTCTGAGAATTGTAGCTTATCCTTGAATTTTGTTATTAATTGCACTTAATGGCATCCTGTGTTCATGATCACACGTCTTAGCATTATTTCCACTTTGTCATTAACAGTCATTCATAACACTGTTGGTTACTGGCCTTATCCAGCTCTCATTTTATGCCATTGGATGCAATAATTGTTTCACTGTCCAACATTTGAGTAAAGATATTGAGCAGTTATTCTAAGTATGCTTCTCTTTCACTTTGTAGAGCTGAGCATGATGTAATCTATAGAATGGTTTATATTGTACAATAATGTTGAATAAAATTAACTGTAGATACTTGGCTATGATTTTATTTTAAATGTTTCATTACAAACAGGAACAGTTTGTAAAAACTTTCCATATCATGGATTGTATGTTAAATTTGTTAACAATATATTTTCATATGTTCACTGATAAGTTCTTTAAAATCAAGGCAGGAAAACGCAACAGACTTTGTCTTTAAGTTGCTTCATTAGTTCAGATCCGTCAAAGATTCTTCACTGTGCTGTGTGTTTTATTATTATCAGTCACCATTGTCCTTATACTTTGAATATAATATTCTCTCTCACACACAAACACACTCTCTCTCTCACTCACACACACACACAAACATACACTCTCTGTCTCTCTCTCACTCACACAAACATACACTCTCTGTCTCTCTCTCACTCACACAAACATACACTCTCTGTCTCTCTCTCACTCACACAAACATACACTCTTTCTCTCACTCACAAACATACACTCTCTGTCTCTCTCTCACAC